AGATTTTTATATATCAGAACAGTCCGTCTGTCAGCTATAGTCAGTCTATTTTGACTAGATGACAGCAAATTATCCTGCTTATTTACTTACCAAACAAATGTGCTTTACATTAAATATTAACCTGAAATAATTTTATTACAGATTGTGGAGTTATATGAGAAACATGAAACAGACATATCATTTTGTATAGAACAAACACACACACGTGTCCTCTCCCTCACACACACACACACACACAAGCGTGGAGGTATCTGGCCTCAGAGGCGTTTTTCCATTTCTCTCTTAATGAAACTGCTGCTCCTCTGATCATCTCCTCTGTTTCACCCCTCTCTCACTTTCACTGGGCGACCACGGCGACGGCATCCCTTTCTCACCCTCCTCATCACCGCTACGACCCACTCAGCCCGTAAACCAAACCCCCAGAACCCACATCAAATATTAACCGCCCCATTAATGAGTTTTCCATCGCTCCTACACACACACACACACACACACTGCCGTAATTAACGGAAAACACTTACCATGTATCACTACTTAAATTCAAACAGCTACCACAAGTGATCTCCAAGAGAGAGACAGATAGAGACGACAGTCTCAACTCCTTGAAGAAAAGCGGCACGTCTCGGCAGTGACGATCATGTGTCATACACGACATGCATGTTTACATCCAATCTGCAAGAAAAGGATGCTGCATTAATATTCAATGTGTGTGTGTTGGGGGACGGGGGATGTGGGTGTGTTAATATTTCATGTCATTATCAAGTTACTCGTGAATGTGGCTGTTCTGACCTAAAGTCTGTGTGAAACCAGTGCTTGTTTCACTCTCTGCACCCCCTGCACCATTGCGCTCAAGTGGACCGTAATTGGGGGCTTGTCTGGGATTTGAACTCTGGACCTCTACATCTGAAGCAAGACTCATGTGGTAATGGAAGTAAAAATCACATTTAGTTTCTCCACTGAGATACATTCTCAGACTACTTAGCAATGTATACACTACCTTTCAACATTTTTAGGTTGTACTATTTTAAAATGTTTTTGAAAGGATAATCTTTTGCACATCAAGATTGTATTTTTAAACCCCAAAATAGAGTAAAAGTTAAATATTATTACTTTTATCATATTTTTTCTTTTTGAATATATTCTAAAATGTATTTTATTTCTGTGATCAAAGATGAGTTTTCAGCATCATTACGCCAGTATTCAGTGTCACACTAAATACTACTAAATTGTCCTTGGCAAAATGTTTGATCAAACAATTAAATATAAGTGTATGTAACCACTGTTGTTGTAATACATAGGTTTGTGTTGGATGTTATCTTTTGAATGGAAATATTGATATATATATATATATATATATATATATAAGTTTAACTTTACCTCTATGACGGTCTTTCTTCTGTGAAACAAGATTTATGTTGCTGTTTTGAAGCTCGACAGTGACTTTTAGTGCATATTAAAGAGCAGCATGAACATTCTTTAATACATCTTGTTTTATGTTCCACAGATAAAACAAGAAACTAATGGGTTTGCAACGACATGAGGATGAGTAAATGATGACAGAATCTCAATGTCAGGTAAACGATCACTTTAACCTCAACGTTGTGAACTTCTAGTTCTGAGATTGGAAAGGTTTGGGATGAAGGTGTACCACTTTAATAAAGCAATTAAAGTCTGAATATCACTCAAATGCACAGAAACATGCATACGTATAGCCTGAGCTGGTGTAACACCCCTAGAGGGATCTGTCCTGAGAGAACAGTTAAGAAATCAGTTAAAGCTATTAGCGTATCACGCTTACAATGAGTGTCTGATTCGCTGACTTCATGAAAAGAGATGGGAGAGCGAGCGAGGGAATGTGTCTTCCTGTATTTGCATGCTGGAACAGCAGAGTGTTCTAAATGTCTTTATAGATGAAAGACAATTAAGTCTTTAGTCATCTAATTACATGCTTTCTCTCTCTCTCTTTTTCTCTCTTGTTCCGTCTCTCCCACTCATAACCATTTCTATTTCCAGAACTGATGTGTTATCAAGTTCAATGCAGGAAATATTACGTTTTAACAGGTTATATAGAGAAATCTGGGTTTAGCTGTGATGTGATATAAGCTCTAGGTGAGCTGTGATGACTGTCAGAATGTGAAATTACAGTTTTATGGGTCAATACAGTCAAAAAAGTACCCCTTTCTTGCATGTTGCTGATCCTATTGTGCACAGTTACATGCTGCACGTTATTCTAAAGCACGAAATCTCTGTACTTGACTCCACATGCGCCATCCAATCAATTAACCAACATATAAAATCAAGTCGTTTTTTTCTCTTGCACATCCTTTCACTTGTAAATCCCTTTCAAATGGGCTGCACATGCTTAAAGATTTGCTGAATGTTACTTTGTGCCCAGACATTTTCACTTTTCATGCATCAGAGTTTTCATACCATGCATTATAATGATGATTTGAACAATTATTATACTTTATTGTATGTACACACACCATATCGTTCAAAAGTCTGGGGTCGGTAAGATTTTGAAAGAAGTCTCTACAGTAAAAACAATAATACTGTGAATATTATTACAGTTTAAAATAACTTTTTTTATATGAATATGAGCTGCATTTTCAGCATCATTACTCCAGTCTTCAGTGTCACATGATCCTTCAGAAATCATTCTAATATGAGGATTTGCTGCTCAGTTATTATCAAATATTATTGGTCCTCAATTATAAATAGTGGTTCTTATTATTCATTTTGATTAATAGAACGTTCAGTGAACAGCATTTATTTGAAATGCATGTTTTATAACATTATAAATGTCTTCACTGACACTTTCAACAGTATCAATTTAATGTATCATTCATGTCTTTTCACTTTCTTTTTTACCTTATCTGACTTAATTTCTTTCTTACTTATCCCAAACTGTAATGGAAGTGTATCACAGTTTCCACAAACATATGAAGCGGCACCACAACTGCTTTCAACCTTAGCAATATATTTTTTCCAGCAGCAAATCAGCATATTAGAATGATTTCTGAAGGATCATGTGACACAGAAGACTGGAGTAATGATGCTGAAAATTCAGCTGTGCATCACAGAAATAAATTACATTTTAAAATACATTCACTTTTAAAACAGTTCTTTTAAATTGTAATAATATTTCACAATATTCCTGTATTTTCAATCAAATAAATGCAGCCTTGCTGAGCAGAAGAGACTTCTTTAAAAAAAAACAAAAAACATAAAACCCAAAAATCCAAACTTTTGAGCGCTAGTGTAATTCTGACTGACGCATTTGTCCCTGAATGTCAGACTGGTTGTCGTCTTGATAGGCATGTGTGATCCAGTGTAAGAATCTGTGGTGTAATCTAGTCCAGTCTCGTGGTGTAATCTAGTTGTGCAGCTTGACTTTGTTTAGACATTTGAAAGCAGTAAACACAGAAGTCATGTTTATTTGATGCTGACAGTGCTGAGTTAGTTGAGTTAGTTGATCTGCTTGTGCTGGATTACTCACTAGTGTCTGATCACTTCTACTGATGACCTTGTGTGTTAGTGAAAGTTCGTAAAGAAATCTGTGAATAAGCGGTGTCTTTGTGCACAAGTGTTTTCCAGCTAATGCAGGTGGTTAAGGTGTGGAATACAGAATAACTGCTGACAGGACAGAAACGGGATTATCGGAATATTTACCTCTCTTTCTCCCTCTTAAATAATGCAGACGTTATAGGTGATTGCCCTGTAGAGGTCTGGTGATGAATGGCCCTTGTCCACTTTCAGGTCCTTTGCCAGTTCTGTGGTTATTTATTTCGAGAGTTTAACAGCGTGACCTCAAAACACACACTCACCTGTACACACACACATATACCTGTGTTAATATATATAGAGAGAGTGCGTTATATATATATATATACAGTGCTAAAAAGTGCATTGTTTCTGCCGGTTATAGGGGTCTATAGTTAGATCTAAATCAGGACAAGGAGAAAGGTCACTCACACAGACTTTTATTATGGAGAGACTCAAACTCCCCACAGGGGTCCGGTGCCCATATGTGGGTCAGAAACTTCTACATGCATCTTTCCTCCAGTGAATATACAGTATATATATATATACTAATAAACAATCTAAAAACATTTAACCCGGGAGGAATTAAAAATGCACAAAAAAGCTAATGTACATACTGTAAATACCTTGAACAGCTTTCAAATACGTCACTCACTTAAAAACGTATTATTAAACTTAGTGACCCATTTATGTTTTACATTTAAAACATAAGACATAAAAATGACAGAAGCTTTTAAAAAAAAGACAAAGTTATCCTACTACATTTTTTAAAATATAATTAATAAAATATAATAATAAAAATGTTAATAAAATACTACAAATATATTTTAAAAACTTTAATATTTAAAAAATCAAATAAAATGACTGAGAATTCAAATAAAAGTAAAATAACTTAAAATATAAAAATAAAAACGAATTCAACATATTAATACTTTAAAACTATATAAATAATCCTATATATAATCCTATCTATAATATATATATATATAATGTTTTTCACAATATATATGTGAAAAGTAATTTCAACATTAGTATTATTAACAATGACCATTGTTTTGTAAGTGTTTTAACTACACAGTGAATAGGCCTTCTAACGATTAGTGAAACAGCGACACTGTGTGCTCACAAAGAGGTATTACAACTACAATGAAAAATTTAATATTATTATTTGAAAACTATTGACAGTTGTTTTAATGGCTTTACAGTTTCGCATTATTATTTTAGAAATATTTATATTTAACTAGTAATCTATCAATTTTTACGCGCTACGGCTGTACAAAGTCTTTGTTTACTGACGATAGTGAAACTCTAGCGGGACTGTCACCATGTACAGCGCGTGAACAAACACTTGTATTGACAACCGGTGACAGCTCGCGGTTCATTAGCAAGCGACTCGGCGTTTAACGGCTGTGAGGCAGGCGCTTTGCTCAAACGATCAGACTGTACTTTATTGACGCGATTAATGTCGGATTATAAGAGGAATGACTGAAGGTAAGACCGTTATAACCGTTTTGGGGGATAAAACAGTATTTGTTGACGAACGCTAACGAAGCCTCCTTACCTGAAGCTCAAAAAGTAAAAAAGTAAACATTAAGTTACTTTAGTTAGTATTCACTAGCATTTGGTGTCAGTGGTATTTCCCTCATTTAAAAGTTATTTAAAAGTTTAAAGCTGTTTAACGTTAGCAGATAGTTAAAAACTGGGGTTTTAACGTATAAGATACTGTAGTGGCAGTTAAGGCATTTAAACTTGTGAAGACAAACCGTCAGCGTCTCAAAATCTAGTAAGCTGCCTACCTAGACAGCATTTTTCGGCATCATAGTGTACTGCGTATCCAGACAGCATTTTGTATGTCTCCAAATGTGTGTCTTGTATACAGAGATACATGGAAATGCTTTAGATCACAAAATTAGGCGGTTTTAAGCAAATTGCGCTTTAAAATGTTCTTGTGTTTCTTACAGATGAAGGCTAACTCAAGTCCTGATGCGGGATGTGCTGGGAGGCTCCCTAGATTGCCTCCTCTACCTGCATCCCAGAAGCCCTCTGACCTGTATGAGGTGTGTGTATAAAGTGTCTCAAGATCTACATGATGTGTTTTGATCATTTCTGGATGTTTTTTGCTCATCCTGATTTGCTCTCTATTTCAGATTCATCTCTATAACAGTCAATACCCGCCCCTCCTGCAGAATCACTCTCGGACTCTTGCGGTTCCCTACAAGGAGCTGCGGCACCACAGAAGTCCCTCCGAGTCCATTGGGAACAACTACAGCCCGAGAGGCCAAAACCTGAAAATCCAACATCTGCAGCGCAGGCATCACTCGCTTCAATGCCCTCCAGTTGCACGTATCCTTTACGAATGTCTTATACACACTCAGCCATGCTTAAATACATACATACACACACACTTTCAGTGCGTCTCTTCTTAACCTCACTTTTAAGACCACAGTGATTCTCCAGTTGTGTGGAAGCGACAACCTGCGACCCATGGACAAAGGTTTTAATAGTAGATTTTTAGTGCATGCATGTGTGTTTCTTGAACAAAATAGTGAGTTCACTAAACTCAGTATTGCAATATTCACGGGAGGGACCATCATGTTTTTCTTCTATTGACAAACAGAACACCTGTCATTCACAAAAGTCGCCCTTTGTCACCGAACCAGCAGCTTGAAATCATGAGGCGTGAGGAGACACAAAGTCAAAGGGAACAGACGGAGCCTACAGAGAGAGATTTAGAGGTCATTATCAGCAACTTTCTTTCATACAGTCAATGTCAATAATGATTTCATGGGTTTTAAAACACACTTTGATTCTTTTTATTTCCAGTTATTCCATCTTTTGCTGTAGTGTGTCAATAGGAAATATCAGTTTAATCAATTAATAGCAAAAGGAATGTTTGGAAATGTAAACTGATATTTCCCACTGACACATACAGCAAAAGGTGGAAATAACTGGCTTTAAATCTATTTTTTTTGGTTAAAATACTAATGGCCAAAGACTTTTGCACAGTATATATATGTATGTATATACTCTCCATTCTATTTCTATTCTATCTTTTTTACTTTACTTTCAGTCATTTAGCAGATGCTTTTATCCAAAGCGACTTACAAATAAGAAAAAGTAATTAAAACTAAAAGCTAAAACTCTATAAATACTATATATATATATACACACATTTAATAAAATAAAATAAAATAAATAAAAATGACAAATGCATACAACAACATTTCAAAACTAAAACATTTAAATGAAAACTAAAAAATAAAGTTAAAAACAATTCAAACATACACAAATAAGAAAAAACAATTAAAACTAAAAGCTAAAAGCTTCTTGTAAGAAAATAAAAGAAATTAAATAAAAATGACAAATGCATACAACAACATTTCAAAGCTAAAACATTTAAATGAAAACAAAAAATAAAGCTAAAAACAATTCAAACATATTAAAAGAACAAAAGGTATGAGTATAATAATGATTGTAACATAACACTAAGCCAAACACCAAAAAACAACTACATATGTGTATGTACAGCCACACACATATACATATACATGTACATATATATAAATACATTCAATATATATATATTATTTCATTTCCATTTTGTATGTTGAAGTACTGAAATAACTCAAATAAAAATAAAACTTAATAAAAGGACAACATTACTACAACTGTAACTAAAACTAAAATAGATAACTAATACAAATCAAACTACATAAGTTTATCAGTAATCCTAAAAAAAAAAATAACACTGAGCCAAACACACATGCTAAAATATCTACTATCTATTGCTATCTACTTGTTTTCTTTTATTTCTTATAAAAATTGACCCTCTAACACTAGCATTCTCTATTCTTTTTCTTGTTTACATACTTGTTTTCTTTTTATTTATTATAAAAAATAATAAGAACTTGACATTCTGTTTTAGACTAACCAGGACTTACATATTATTGCACTTTTGTTAGTTTAAAGGCACAATATGCCATTTTCACCACTGGAGGGCGCGTATTCATAATAAACAAAGAAGCAAAGGCGTAGTTTGTAGTTCGGGCAGAAATCATGTTCATGGATGAGCTAATGATTTATTAACGTAGTAGTATGAAGCAGGGTGAGGCTGAAAGCCGTCGAAGCGAAACGAGGCGCTGAACGAGCGTGACACACGGCTGGAAAGCAGCGGAGCTTTTATTATGCCACAGTCGAGCGCTTCCGCTGCTTCCGGTCGTGCGTATGTGGGGTAAAGCAGCAGAGCTTTTATTATGCCACAGTCGAGCACTTCCGCTGCTTCCGGTCGTGTGTATGTGGGGTAAAGCAGCGCTGTTTTATCATACTAGATATGTTTGAAAGTTCTGTTATAAAGCTACTCTGTGCGGTCGTCACCGGTCTATTAAAACGCACAACATATTAAAGCGTCTTTGCTTCTGTTGTCTTCATTTGTAAGTCACTATTGGAAAAAAGCATCTGCTAAATGATTAAATTAACAATTTAAATGTATAGTTTTTAAAAAGTGTTTTTTATAAAAAAAATGGTTACTGGTTTCCAATTCTATCCTTCACTTGCTCTTCCATCCTTCCGTCCATATTAATTATCTCTCTTTCTCTCTCAGAGGTATGTGTACTATATCACTGAGGGTGTTTACGGCCACATGTTAACCCCCCAGCCACCAGAGCAGATCACCGCTATCCTGAAGCTGCTACCCAGCCGTTTCCAAGGTGACGAGCGGAAGATGCAGAAGATGCCGGAGGATCTTCTGGAGGAGGTCCAGAGAGACTATGAATTCAACCTCCGCAAGAGCATTGGTATGACGCACAACACTAGCTATGTAGATTATGTAGAGCAGTGTTTCTCAACTGGTGGGTCGCGGAGTGTACGGCCAAAGAAACTACATCAACAACAAAAAACATAATTCTTAATGTTTTTCTGATGCGAGACTTTTATTTTAAAAGACGTGCATGAAAGCTGTTGACATTTCTGTCAGATGCAGTTTAAGTAAAGTGTTCCTGAGAAAAACGTGCTGTCCCGATTCAGTTTCTGCGGTCAGATGAGATGTTAGCAGGCTTAATGTCAGTGTCATTATTCAATCTTTATTTTCGTAACTTATGAAATAAAAAGTCTCTCCCCTCAGAAAAACGAACTATCCTGTCCTGCCAGATGTTATACCGTGCTTGTAGCGCGCACTCTTCAATAGCATGTGTGAATGCGGCGCCACGCTGTATATCACTTCACTAAAGCACAGAAGCTACAAGCATGCAACGCGTGAAATAAAAGTACAGTACCGATAAATCACATAACTGATACTGCGTGTGTTAGCTGGGAAGGATTTGCATGAAGGTATGATATTCATTCTATTCAGGAGCAGTTTCCACGTTTCATTAACAGTTCATGTTAGTATTGTATATTCACCATGGTAACTGTTGTTTCCAAAACCCAAAAATATTTTCACTTTGTTTCATTTTGTATATGTTTAAATGACTGTGGTGGGAGTTGTCAGAATCAGAATCCATCCTGCTATCACAAGCTCAAGAATTTAAAGCGGCAGATGCATGTGTGCTTAAAATAAACAGACGATATCGTTCGCTGGTGCGGACGCTAATATCGTTACCTTTATAGTTATCGTTCTTGGTGTGAACGGGGCTTAAGGGTCAATTTTTTTTATGGTTTGTAAGGATAGGACAATATTTGGCCGAGATACAACTATTTGAAAATCTGGAATCTGACAGTGCAAAAAGATCTAAATACTTTGAAAATCGCCTTTAAAGTTGTCCAAATTCTTAGCAATGCATATTACTAATCAAAAATTATGATTTGATATATTAATGATTTTTGGCATAAAAGAAAAATCGATAATTTTGACCCATGAACTGTTTTTTTGGCTATTGCTACAAATATACCCCAGCGACTTAAGACTGCTTTTGTGCTCCAGGGTCACATATATATATATAATAAATATACACAGTATACACACATATAGTATGTAAACAAAAACTTTTATTTTGGATGCGATTAATCGTTTGACAGCACTAATATACATATTTTTAGATGGTCTTTTATTGTGCTATGAAAATATACTAAGAAACTTTAAACTATACCTAAAACAACCTTCCCAATTTGTTGACTTTTTGTGATAAACAAATAATTAATCTAATTCATGTTACTGTCTTTTTAGCCTGAATCACTTCCTTACTTGTATGTCGCTTTTTAAATGAATCACTTTCTTTTTGTAGTTGATTATATCCTGCTAGATCCAGCGGAGCGAGAGCGTCTGTCAGTCTCTGCTGTCCCCCGGCCGTTCCCGTCCCGTGTCATTCGTGCACCAGTTCCCTGGTCCGAGAGCTACAGAGAGGCTCACAGCTGGCAGACGGAGAACCTTTGCACCGTCAACCCTATGATGCTCCATGTACAGGATCTCTGGATGAGCAGGTTGGCATCTCTACAGTGGTGGCCAAAATTATTAGAACACTAGTATTTTCAGCAGCTAAAAAAATGTTTTTTAGTCAGTTATTTCTATCTTTTGCTGTAGTGTGTCAGTAGGAAATATCAGTTTACATTTCCAAACATTAATTTTGCCATTGATTGTAATAATCCAGTGAGATTTTTGTCTGACAACAGCCAATGCTCCACACATAGGGCTGGGCGGTATATCGCGTTTGTATGATATATAGATATATTCTTTATAAGCGATACAATATGAGGCAATACCGTTTATATTAATATACTGTAGTTTGATACGAGCGCATCTGAAAAATATAGCGGAGGACAATGACTGAGCTGCTGTGGAGAAAGTGCATAATCTAGTTTGTTCTAAACATGTGACAAGCTTCATATTAAGGCCTTTAAAAACTCGTTACCTTTATAGTTATCGTTCTTGGTGTGAACGGGGCTTAAGGGTCAATTTTTTTTTATGGTTTGTAAGGATAGGACAATATTTGGCCGAGATACAACTATTTGAAAATCTGGAATCTGACAGTGCAAAAAGATCTAAATACTTTGAAAATCGCCTTTAAAGTTGTCCAAATTCTTAGCAATGCATATTACTAATCAAAAATTATGATTTGATATATTAATGATTTTTGGCATAAAAGAAAAATCGATAATTTTGACCCATGAACTGTTTTTTTGGCTATTGCTACAAATATACCCCAGCGACTTAAGACTGCTTTTGTGCTCCAGGGTCACATATATATATATAATAAATATACACAGTATACACACATATAGTATGTAAACAAAAACTTTTATTTTGGATGCGATTAATCGTTTGACAGCACTAATATACATATTTTTAGATGGTCTTTTATTGTGCTATGAAAATATACTAAGAAACTTTAAACTATACCTAAAACAACCTTCCCAATTTGTTGACTTTTTGTGATAAACAAATAATTAATCTAATTCATGTTACTGTCTTTTTAGCCTGAATCACTTCCTTACTTGTATGTCGCTTTTTAAATGAATCACTTTCTTTTTGTAGTTGATTATATCCTGCTAGATCCAGCGGAGCGAGAGCGTCTGTCAGTCTCTGCTGTCCCCCGGCCGTTCCCGTCCCGTGTCATTCGTGCACCAGTTCCCTGGTCCGAGAGCTACAGAGAGGCTCACAGCTGGCAGACGGAGAACCTTTGCACCGTCAACCCTATGATGCTCCATGTACAGGATCTCTGGATGAGCAGGTTGGCATCTCTACAGTGGTGGCCAAAATTATTAGAACACTAGTATTTTCAGCAGCTAAAAAAATGTTTTGTAGTCAGTTATTTCTATCTTTTGCTGTAGTGTGTCAGTAGGAAATATCAGTTTACATTTCCAAACATTAATTTTGCCATTGATTGTAATAATCCAGTGAGATTTTTGTCTGACAACAGCCAATGCTCCACACATAGGGCTGGGCGGTATATCGCGTTTGTATGATATATAGATATATTCTTTATAAGCGATACAATATGAGGCAATACCGTTTATATTAATATACTGTAGTTTGATACGAGCGCATCTGAAAAATATAGCGGAGGACAATGACTGAGCTGCTGTGGAGAAAGTGCATAATCTAGTTTGTTCTAAACATGTGACAAGCTTCATATTAAGGCCTTTAAAAACGGGTAAGACATAGTATAGTTTAGCATAGTTTAAGCGACTCGGCCTGTCATATGCTCTGACAAAAAAGGCTGCGTGTGACGCTACTTGCGCTGTTTAATGTGTTTGACATGTGCTGTCTTCCTGAATGCATAACTTGCATTTCACTGGTATATTCTCCGTCTGAAAATGTTAGAAAGTCATGGAAATATTTCCATTTTGCTGTCAGGAGTGCATGAGCCTTCTGGTTTGCGATTCTCCGCTAAAACTTCACAGACTTGAACGAGCGCCACCGTGCGCGCCAAACAGACAGAGGCCAATTAAATAGGAGTGCAATAATTCTGACTAAAATATACATTTCGCTGAAATATTTGTTGTTGGACAATAAATGTGACATGTAGAATTTTAAACCTACAAGTAAGTCTATTTTTATGATAGCACTGACTGTAAAGTGACTGTAATGGGGTAATCAAAATAGCCTAACACAACTATGTGCTTCTGTTCTCATTTATTTTCATTTTTAGTTTAGTGAATTTAACTTCCACTTTTAAAAGCCTTATTTTTGTTTTTAGATTGCAATGTTACAATGTTAGAATGAAATGTTATTTTAACCCTTTTTATGCACATAATATAAAGGCTTACATGGTTAAATTCACTTTATTTGTTTTCATAGCCTTTAATATGTATTGTTTTGTTGGACAACATTGGGCGGTAAGTGAAATAGATATATATTAAATACAGATTTTTAAAAATACAAATACAAAAACGTAAATACCGAGATATATACCATATATCGCAAATCGCCAAAAAATACAGAGATATGAATTTTTGCCCATATCGCCCAGCCCTATCCACACAGAGATCTGATCTGATCATCATCCAGTCTGTCTGGAATGACATGAAGAAACAGAACAAACTAAGACAGACTCAATCCAGAAGAACTGTGGTAACATCTCCAAGATGCTTCAAGAAACCTACCTGCAAAGTTGCAGTACTGTTAAAAGTTTTAGGCACTTGCGTAAAAATGCTGTAAAAACAGAATGCTGTCAAAAATCATTATCAATTAAGTTCTGTTAACTTTATTATTTTGTTTAAATATATATTATTTATTGTTTTTTTATTTGTTCCTGTGGCTCAGTGGTAAAGCATTGCGTTAGCAGCGCAAAAGGTTGTGGGTTCAATTCCCAGGGAACATGCATACTGGTAAAAAATGTATAGCCTGAATGCACTGTAAGTCGCTTTGGATAAAAGCGTTTGCTAAACGAATAAATTATTATTATAACAAAATTTAATCAACATTTGGTATGACCATCCTTTGCATTTAACGCAGCTTTTGCCCTCGGTGCAGCTGCGCATAGTTTTCCAGGTAGATTTCTTGAAGCATCTTGAAGATGTTACCACAGTTCTTCTGGATTTACTCCGTTTCAGTTTGTTCTGTTTCTTCATGTCATTCCAGACAGACTGGATGATGATCAGATCAGATCTCTGTGTGGACCATTGGCTGTTGTCAGACTCCTTGTGCAAACAAAAATCTCACTGTATTATTACAATTAATGGCAAATTAATGTTTGGAAATGTAAACTGATATTTCCTACTGACACACTACAGCAAAAGATAGAAATAGCTGAGTTAAAAAAAATTTTTAGCCATTGAAAATACTAATGTTCTAATAATTTTGACCACCACTGTAATTCCTCCATCAGGGTCCTAATCATCATGATCCCATTTCTAATCTCTTTATGTTTCTTTTACAGTTTCACGTCTCTGCGGTTTGTGCGTTTGGATGATCTGCTCTCAGCCGATCTTCCGCTCTTGCCGGCGGAGTTTGAGGAGCTGGTGCGGCGACAGTGTCAGAACACCCGAGATGAACTGCTTAACACGTGAGAGATATCCTCTATATCTATATATCTGTTCTAAACAAGTGCAGAACATCACCAGACCTGTGTTTTTTGTGAGGTTGGGTTTAAATAACGTCCTGCCGTGGACAGTAACGGAAACAGTACAGACTGAGAAGTCATAGCAAGACACATGATATATTTGGTGTCTGTAGGTTTCATTCTCATGTTCTCTGTAAACCTGTCACTGTAGTCACCTGAATCCAGCTCTATAATTACAGCTCGCCTTGCACTCAAAGGAAGAGCTGTATGTCTGGCAAGTTACAAGTCATTTGAATCATTTTTTCAGCTGATTCGTTCAAATACACTGATTCCCGATGAACCCACTGATGAGTGGTTCATCTGAGTGGTTCAAATGATTTTTAAAAAATTGTTAAAAAAATTGAAATAAAATAAATGTTAACTGAAATTAAATAAAATGTAAAAAAAAATCAGTTAGTTGCCAAGGCAATGTTTCTTATTTTCATTTAGTTGAACTTGAACTAAAACTGAAATAAAAATAAATAATGACATAAACACACAACAAAATTACTGCAACTTTAACTAAAATAAAAAAAGGAAAATTATTAAAAAACTGTAATTGATCATTGGAACAAACAAGTGACTTGTCTTTATGAGTGAGTGAGTAAATGGAATCATTCACTCAACTATTGTTCAAAAACACTGATTCATTCAGTGGTGAAACAACTCACTTTGTCATTATGAATGAGTCTTCTGAGTCATTCATTCAAACTTATTGATTTGATACAGAAACAAAACAGAGCTCCTGTTTGTAACTTGGGTAAACAAAACAAGTTTGTATTTACAGATAAGAATATAACACTAATATTAACAATTGATGTTTGTCCATTTAAGCAATTACTAGCAATGTCCTGATGCTCTCATGGGATATGCTGAACATTTACTGGACTGTGGTAAATGTGTGTTTGAATAAGGTCGAATGTGTTGTTGTTTAAATAGTTCTCCTCGTCTTGACTACCTTTGTTCTCAACTCTGTATCCATGGTCTCCTCAAACCACCCAAAGACAAGCACATAATACGAGCCCTGAATGAGGGTTTGAACAATGGGGAAATAAAGAGCAATCTGGACCTGCTTTAACACGCTGGGTGTCTGCAACAATAATCCGTGTGAAGTGTTCAGTAGATATACTGCAGGAAGAGTGAATTGCAGTCTGATGCATCCTTGACCTTTTTATTTCAGAGACCCTTTTATTACTAAATGGATTCGAAATGTAAATCATTTTATCCAATGAGATAATTTTTTCTTAACTTTTGAAATTAGAGATATTTGAGAATATTTTGTACTTTTTAATATTTTTGTACAACTTGGTTAATTTGTATCATGAACATACCAACTCGAGAACTGAATTTTGATATTCAGCCAAGCAGTAAAATGAAGGTAAAATTGAAATAAAAAAGAATTATGTATCACCTGTTGCCTTTGTTGTTTGTGTGTGTTGTGTAGTTGGCTGCCCCGCTGTGCTTCTCTTTTTGTGACCTTTAAAGACTCCTGGTTGCCACTGGTCCCAAAGAAAGCAAGCATCTCCCCGGTAAAGGCACAGAAACTCTTCTACAGTGTGGCTGCTCTGATGTCACTGCAGCTGCGCAGTCTGGTGGTCGCATCGCTGCTGGATCTGCTGCAGTTTTTCCAGCTACATCAGGTACTGAAACCAGTGACACTGATATGTTTCAAATATGTTTAAACCGATGCTCTATAGACGTTATACAACCTTGTTACTGAGCATGTGCGTGCATTTATGGGTATATATGTACATATATATCTGTTTGTTTATGAATGCATGCTTTTTGAGAGTGCAAGCCACTGAAGGCTGTATTTTACAGTTATTTTACCACTGCAAAGTCACTCTAGCATACTGCCTTCTGTATCTTATGGATTTTATTAAACAGGCACAAGTTTTAAATAAAATATTACGTTCATTAATAAACAAAATAATAGTAATAATAATAACAGACAACCAACAGCTATTTATAGTTGTAATATGTTTATATGTTAAATATGCAAGATCACTAGTGCATAAATTAGACATTTTACAATTGATTTGAACTTCATGAACAGTCAATTCTGTGCATGTTAAATGTGCATTTGTTTACATATGTGTGTGTGTACTATATGTATGTGTTTCCTGGCAGGATGGTAATGATTTTGGGGAGTATTTTGATGAGCTGAAGTACACACAGCGTCCATTGTTACTGGTGAAATTGAGACTTGAGGACCCCAAAATTGCATTTGAACCTTCACTGGAGAGCTGCTGGGAGCTCATACAGCATGCATTCACACAGATCATCGACAGCGCCCACAACATACCCCGGGTACACGCGCATATGCTAAAAGACGACTTGCCAATGAATTCTGTTGTTATAGTATAGTGCAATAATTTATCTGAGGTGAACCTGAGAAGATGCAAGGGATTTTGCTGATGTTTTCTTTATTCTCACATTATTTACATCTGCAAGTTTCAGACTTAAGTGGCTTGGAATCTTTACTTTCATTGGTAAGAGATTCTTTCCACACAAACATTGAAAATGATCTGAGATACAGGAAGTATAAAGCGCATCTAACAGAAAACTGATGTTCAGATTTCTTTGTTGTATTTTGTATTTTTTGCAAAATAGTACATATTTAATTAAATAATACCATTTGCATGTTTATCATAACATTTCAGAAACTTGTAATGCAAAACAATTGCCTGTACTGTGAATAATCAACTGGGGAATGTATGGTGATATCTGAGGAATTTTTACCCTATTTACCTGCGGAGCCTTAATTATTTTTCTCATTCAACTTGTGAAATATGTCACATCAGTTAAATAAAAAGTGATTGTTTTTAGCTGCTTTTTTGTTGAATAACAAAACATTTTGTATGTATGAGGTATTATATTATAGCATATACCGTTTATATATGCTATATAACATTTATTATTCTCTCCTAGTATATGCCATCGTTACGATGAGATTACGGACAGAATCACAAGCAAGCTGAGTACCACAGAGGAGCTGGTAGAGTTAAACCAGTACCTGAGACACACAAGTGAAGTCACCGTACACAAACTCCGCCATGAGATTGAGGAAGCTGTCAAGAGACTCGACTTCCTGCTCGACTACGCCACTCTTCCAGGTACAAACATTCTTTGCGTAATGTGTGCATGCAAATACTGTGTCTATGGCAACACCATACTACTCAAATACACTACAAATACTAATATTTCAAATATTCTAATCATGTGGTTTTCAGTCACAGTCCCTCAGTCTAGATTTGGGGCTGTCTGGGATTTGTGGGAACACTTTTTCTTTAAAACCCCCTTAAAATCTTTCTCTCTTCACAGAGGAGGATATGAAGTTGTTCAGCACTTTGATCCACTGGCCTGAACAGATTCTGTCTTTAATTGAAGTCAGTAAGGATAAACTGAACAATCAGAAAGATCAGGCTGAGATCGATCTGATGAAAAGGTGCTTAAACACATACACACACACACATCAAATGCAACATATGCGGCTTAAACAAATCTGATGGCTATCACATGTTTCGTCCTCAGAATAGGGAAGTTGGAAGAGACAATGAAGGGCCTGGAAAAAGAGGTGGACATCTTTAAGATGAAAGAAAAGATGACTTTGGAGGAGAGCAAGATCAATGTGGAGAAACTCAATAAGATCAGCGTCAGCCTGGAGGCCGCTGTCAAAGAGATAGAGGTTTGTGCTTGAAATTGTTTATTAAATAAACATGAAATTATGGTTGCAAATACAGTATGTCATGCATTGCAGGTAAAAATTTTTTTTTGAAAAAAGTCTGATTATACATATATTTCATTCAATATTGAAAAAGTGTGTAACTATTACTTATACATATAAACCGTTCATGTGCTTTTAGTCTTTCAAGTATGAGTGGATATTAATGGAATGTAAAAATTTGCATTTATTTCAGTGCATTAATAAAGAAGAGGGTTTGCTGGACAAAGAACAGACTCAGTTTCCAGTCTTACAGACAATAATGGGCAAAAAACAGCCATATGACCAGCTGTGGATCACGGCTCTTGATTTTCAGACCAAATCTGATGTGTGGATGAATGGTAAAGCACATGCTGTCATATTTCTTGGTCCTTTTTACATTTTACATGAATTAATGCATTTGATTGGACAAACATTTGTATAATAAAGAAAGACATAATTTAGTCACTTTAGACAATGTTGTTTTTCAGTCTCAGGCTTTGTTTTCTGTCTCAAATGTTTCAAAGCATCTAAAGCAGTGACATTGAACATTAGTTTAACATGCGATTGTATGTGTGTGTGTGTGTGTGTATGTTTTCATGTCTTGTGCATGCGCTCTTAAGGTCCATTCCAGCAACTGAATGCAGAAACGGTATCAGAGGAGTTGGGAAACATGTGGCGCACCATGTACAAACTCACAAAGATCTTCTCAGATCGGACGTCTCCTGGGCGTGTCACTTTTAACATGCGATTGTATGTGTGTGTGTGTGTGTGTGTGTGTGTGTGTGTGTATGTTTTCATGTCTTGTGCATGCGCTCTTAAGGTCCATTCCAGCAACTGAATGCAGAAACGGTATCAGAGGAGTTGGGAAACATGTGGCGCACCATGTACAAACTCACAAAGATCTTCTCAGATCGGACGTCTCCTGGGCGTGTCACAGAAAACTTCAAGAAAAAGATTGACAAATTCAAACAACACCTTCCCATTCTGACAACTATCTGCAATCCAGGCCTGAAGGACAGACACTGGGAGATGGTATGACAGTAATATACATAAAGCTTTATTGATCTCTCAGTGAAACCCACTCACAGGCGTTTACAGGAACAGTCACATTTTACATTTTTAATCATTTTAGTGAATGGATTCTTCTGAACAGTTCAGGCATATGTACTGGTTTATACAGTTATTCACTGATTTAGTCCTTCAATTTAGGTCTTATGTATTCCTTTTTTTTTTTTTTTTTTTTTTTTTTTTTTTTTTTTATT